TAAGTGATTCGATCTTATTGAATGTTTGATTTACGGCGAAACTATGATTTGTGGATGAACTAATCAGATTTGAGATATCAGGTCTTGAGTTTTGGCTCGAAATTCATTCGTCCATTTGGCTAAATAGCGTTTGGCCATTTTAGCTGATGTCAGTTCGTGATGAAAACCCTAACCACTAACTGTAAGTCATAATTCTAATTCCTCACACTGGTTTATAACCCTCATTTAGTCCTAGTTAGTAGATGGACATTCTCAAGGCACCTTAGCGTCACTCAAAGGTCGTCCATAAATTAGTCTCACCTGACTTACTTCTCAGAAAACCTGAATTCGATATCCAATCTGATGTTTAATTAATAATGGAAATTGTGTTTAAGTTCTATACACTATTGTTATGTCGTTACGGAAATAAATAAGTTGTTTTTTTAAAGAAATTTAATTCATTTTCATTTTCTCTCTTTTTTGATCTACAATTCAGTGCTGGCAATCGTACTTTTATAATTTATTCATTTATCTATGCCTTAGCCCAGTCATTGCCGATTTGTTCTTATGCTGCTACATTTTCTTATGGAGCCTATTTAATGAGTTTAGAAGAAATTAATTTGACTGGAATATTCAAGTATGGTTTTATATTAATATATTTATCATTAGTTTAGTTAATTGCTTATTTTAGAGACAATATTTAGTGTTGAAGGAATTTATGAGTCGTAGACTGTTTGAAATCAGCCTGCAGTAGTTGCCAATTTACTTGATGATTGTACTTATCTTAATATAAATAGTTTCTATGGCAGACTGAATAGAATAACAAATGGGACATAACAACACTACACGCATTACAATGAATTAGAGAAGATAGGACTTTGAAGATAGCGTTATATTCCGAACAGATGTCGAAAATTGGAATGAAACTACTCAGTTTATATGGTAAGACTCAATAACCTTAGGACACAATAAAATTAGAAAACTAAAAATGACAGTAACCAATTTGATAACAACAGACGTCATTGTGAAATAATTAATTTTTAAAAATTTCACCGAGACTATTGTTTGAAGAGAAAACTAACATTGCTGGACAAATATCTGAACTAGCCTTGATTATCAATATGACTATTGTAACTTAGGGTATGATATTGGAAATTAGTCTTTTAATTAATTAATCACTCTCTAAGCAACAGCAGAGATTACTAAGATCGGACTAATCTAAAATCATATTTAACAACTTTATTAGTTTAGAATTAACACTATTTTTATAATAGTCATATAATTGGGAAGCTATTCATTAGAATGTGCGGTAAATTTGTTGTTTGTTTTTTTTACAAAATAAAAGAAACTTTTTAGAATTTCCTTCTTTTTATCTTTATTTGTGTGCTTATAACATCAGAACAAAATAACTATGAATTAATAATGAAAACTGAACTTCAGTTGAAAGCTTGCAAAGCTTTATTTTAACCTATTTTCATATACAACAGTCCATGAAGTTATTGAGTATTGAACTCAACTTCGTTAGTAGGTACAAACTACCAGGTTGAGGTTTGTGCGATTATCCTGATGCATTTTTAGAGACGTTGTCTGATATACTGTAGAATCTGTTGCAATAGCCCAGTTGCATTCATTCTTTGTTTTTCCTTAGACCTTGAATTTAAAAATTAGCTTATAGTTATTTGTTTGGTTCCACGATTTCATTATTTCTCAGATCACATTGTATATGTCTAGCCGTTTCTACTACTGCTGATACTTACTATTTCTACTACTCTGCCATGTATCTTGATAATTTCATCTTGTGGTGATATGGTGTGCCAACTTAAACTGATGTCCCAGGATCTACGTTACTTATGACTGACTAGTCCATAATGACAACAACAATCTTTATCTGCATATTCTATTATAATGAAGTATCTCTTAAAAAATTTTGGACCAAATAGTTTAGTGAAGAAGCCATTCGACTTTTAATCACTAGTCACACGTTCGAACTCTGCTTTATTTTATCCAGTTCGGACATCCGAATATTTATTTATTTCAACACATAGATATCGGTACTAAGATGCGCCTCACAAATCTCATTCGATATGTGTGAGGGCTGTGATACCGCACGGGTGCCCAAACCGAAGCAGGTCTGATCCACAAGGCAGTGGAGCATCATAAGGAGATGCAGTCCCATGGAAGCCAATGACCAACAATTGGTTCATACACCATTTGTTCCCGCAGGATACTGGAGCCCATGTGCACCATTGGTTTGGAATCCGGTTAAAGCGCCGGACATTCGCTTTTCGTCCTCTCATTTTCGTAAACAACACCCCCGCCACGAGAAGGCAGTGAGTAGGACTTCCCTGGCAGAGGCTGTATACCTTCACATTAATAGTGTGACTCAAAGCCCTCAGTGAATTTGCGTGTAATTAGTTAGTGAGTAACAGTAGTATTAAGAATTATAGATATATTGTATCATGATTATTATGTCACTCGATATTTTTTATAAAAAAAGTTAGTCCAATCAGTGTAACCTACGGTAAATCGATTGTACAAATTGATTATATTTCTAGAAAAGTTGAATTTACTTGTGGTGGATTGGTTTTTTGTGTATAGTAATTGAATGCGCCACGACTTCAGTTTTTTATTTATTTAATCTATTGATTATACATTTAAAATGATATAATCTTGACCACACAACTTTTATCTTTTGTGGATGAGAAATGTGAATATTGTCTGAGTTTCATGATCACTGTAATGATGTTATCTCAGCCTAAAAGTTGAACGTTTACTGCGAAACCTGAGGATAATGAATGCGCACTGATGAGGTACCCAATACCAGGACGAAAGAGTTGTCCATTAGCTCATGGTCTTCAATGGATGTCTAACACAAATCCTTTCGTGATCTCGATTGCATATCTTCTCTCGGTCTTTTCTTGTTTTGTTAGGAAACAAGAGAAAAAAGAATATTTTTCATTCGATTGACTAAAGTTTTGTCATAATTTCTTTAGTTTTCATTTCGCTTCTATTTGTTACTCGTTCGTCCAATCGTGGAAAAATAACATACTGTTATGATCTGGGGAGTTGAAAGAATTTTCAAAAATGTGCTAGTAGTAATACAATTTGGACTAATAAACTTTAGAGATGGAAAGAATGATTGGCTATATTTCTGATGATGTATTAGGATTATTTTTATACTTACAATCTTGTAATTCCATTCAATCTTTGTAAGGTATTTTCCCTGTTTATTTTCCTATTACTGTCGATATTATTTTTGTATGCTTTTCTGATGATCATACATACAACGACTTGAACTGCTAAACATTTATGCCGGATCCCATACGTTAAGTCACGTCTAACCTCCAAATTATTTGGTGAATTCAAGACGAACGACCATTAATATGAGCATTATTAGTAAATCCCTAAAAGAATAAATAATATACATGTTCAAGACATACTTTACAATAAATAATTCATAAAACCTCATCTACTTGAAACCATATGTTTAAATATTTGTGGATGTTCTTATATATACTTTTTTTCTGTTTTTTACATTAGGGTTTTTGCTGCTATCAGTTTTGCAGCACAAGCACTTGGTAGAACATCACATGTGGGACCAGAAATGAAGCATGCTTCATTGGCAGCTAATCGAATTTTTAAAATTCTCGATAGAGATTCTAAAATTCCTGTAGATGAAGGTTTATGTCCTGACCAGTCTATAAACAATCTTCCTATTGAATTCAGACAAGTATCATACAGATATCCATCTAGGCCAACATCTTGGGTTTTAAAGGTAACTGATATATTTCAATAAAATAAAATTATAATTTTAAATTATGATTTATGGTTCACTATATCATTAGTAGTAACCGAACTCTTTAAAATCTCTTAAGGGGATTAAGAAATCCTCACCTGTAATATACGGCCGACACCGTATTTACCCATTGGATGTTATGTAGTTACACTAAAGATATCAAATGGATATTACTACTGCTTACTCAAGTATGAGGTCTGACACATCAAAAAAGAAACAAGAGGTATTATCTCAGAGAATAATCATTTGAACAGGATGATAACCTATGAAATACTTTTGCCCATTGCAACAATTAGCATCGAGCTTACTGGAGGCACAAATCTCTAGCGGACTGGACTTGGATACAGCATTCACTGTGAAATAATCCTCGAAAGTCTATCGACATTCGTTTGTATTAGGTTGGACTTATTGAAGATATTCAATTTAAACGCATGTTATCTTGATGTTTTGCTGCATTACTGCTGCTCCCATACATTTTCTCGCTAATCAACTCATGTCAGTCAACTTTAAGTTGTTTATGTTTATTATTGTCTTAATATTCTACGTTATTTTGTGGTTACGTTTCGTACTTTTGGTCACCAGGCTAGGCACAACAATTTAGAAGCTTCATATTCTCCCTTTGACAGATTCTCTCAGGACCCTAGAGGCAAAAATATAAGACGAGCCTTACTACCCACTTGGGCGACTAATCCACAACACCTTTGTAAAATTTAAAAAAACTACCTATCTACTCTGGTTAATATTTTCGACAATAAGGCTCTTTACCGTTACAGAGCCGCAACTTCGTTTTCCTGTCCCTTTCTGACCCAAAAACATTAACTAGCTGTGTACTATTTCGTGTTCGACATAGCAGTTCGGAAGTTACTTTTTCCTCGTGACTAATTGAAAGTCACTAAGAGCTTGCGTGATGATTTTTGCATTTCACGAGCCTATTTAACGTAGTTAGTCATTAAAAAAGAGACCTTTTTGACGACTCTTTTCACTAAGATCTTGACCAGTCATCCTCTACCATGTTGGAAAAGCGTTTCTTCAGGCTGTTTTCGAATTATTACAATCCTGTCTTCATAGAGAAATCTACCTTATTCAATAAGAACTAGTGTGTCCTGATCATATTTCCCCCAAACATTTGATACACAATTCCTCGTCGTAAAATTGAATCGGGTGAAAGTGGTGATATGACTCCTCGAAATAGATGGATCTGCGACGAGAAAAAAAAACAGAACTTAAAACTCACATTTTATTGATATAAAGAAACCGGCGTTCTAACATGAAACTGTGTAACTTTTCGTCCCATTAGGACTTTTCATGGACATTCCAACCTCGTCAGAATACTGCTATTGTGGGGCTTTCTGGATCTGGTAAAACTAGTATATTATGTTTGATTCATCGCCTTTACGAAGCTGATAGTAGTAACGCAAATAGTGGGATATTTCTCAACGATATCAATATAAGAATGATTTCACCTAGGTGGATTCGCGAGCAGATTTGTGTTGTAAATCAAGAACCACAACTTTTTAATCTTACACTTATGGAAAACATCGCGTATGGGAACAATGCACATCCTGTAACGATGGATGAAATAACCGATGCCGCACGACGTGCAAATATTCATGAATTTATTATGACCCTACCACAAGTAAGTTACTATCGATTCTACTCAAGGTGTGAATTGATTTTGTCGTGTGACCTACTTTTATCTTATTATCTGGTATAATTCAAAAGGTCTAATCGTCCCAGCAATAACATTGTCGCGAAACACCACATATCGATCGAATCTTTGATACCTTACAAAACCAATCACTGCTCCCAATAGTTTACTGGTCGATTGTAGAACTTACTTTCAACTTCAGTCTTGTATTCCATTGTGTCCTATTTTATGGCAGTGAAACATGGTCGGTAAGAGTAGAGAGTATTCGTAGGTTACTAGTATTCGATCATAGGTGTCTTCGAAACATTGCTCGTATATCCTGGGACCATCGGGTAAGTAACGCAGTTGTTAGGAAACGGGTACTAGGTAAGGATGGCAAATCGATTGATGAAGTGGTGAAACTTCATCAGTTGAGATGGCTGGGACGTGTTACGTATGCCCAACCACTAACTGCCCCGACGTGCGATGTTTCATGGTGTAGTAGATTGGAAGAAAACTAGGGGCGATCACCCCAGAACATGGCACAAGTCCATGAAGTCACTGACAAGTTGTCTGACTCATGTTGGTTGGTGTAGACTACCTGGTTGGGGACCGCGAGATGATAGCAACCGATGGTTAGAAACCTTGAATAACATGGCTCAAAATCGTTTGCGATTGCGCAGGTGCATCCACTTTTTGTGTTCTCCCAAATTCTAATCTTCTGAATTCCTCATGTCCCTTTTTTCTCTTTCCAAATTTATTCCACTGGATTATACTCTTTGTCATCTTCAAACCCTAATCTTTCCGACTACTACTTATAATTTTACTACATCTACCACTACGGGATATGGATCGATGACTGCATCTGTGCTAGTGGTATAACAACTCGAACTGACGCACGTACGTACGAAGTTCTACGTTGTTGACTGACTGATCGCATTCCAATGTATGGTCCTAAAAATGGAGTACCCTTAAGTTGATATAAAACGGATATATTAGACCCGAAATTCTGATGCCCGATGTCAGAAATTCAAAAGTGAAGAAATCCTTACTATATTTGGCTCAGTATTAAAACAGACGAATAACTGTAGTTCTGTAACATACCAGTTAATTGAATATACTGTATAATTTCCTCTTCAGGGTTACAACACATTAGCTGGTCCGCGAGGTACACATATTTCTACGGGTCAAAGACAAAGAATTGCAATAGCGCGTGCCCTCGTGCGTAAACCGAAATTGCTACTCCTAGATGAAATTACTTCTGCAATGGACCCAGAAAACGAACGGTATATTCAAAACTTATTAACAGGACTATCACAGGACTACACATATCTGCTAGTTACCCACAGACTACTCTCAACGACACAAGTCGACCAAATCTTGTTCATATCCAGAGGTAGGATTGTCGAGTCTGGTTCATTTGATCAGCTAATACAATCTAAGGGAGCATTCTACGCATTGTTTTGTCCTGAAGAGATCAAACAAAGTTGATGTACAAAATTTCTTGTTTTTCTAAGCGGTAACAAACTCCCAACTCATAATTCTCAAACTATCAATTAAGCGGTCGAACTTCATTAGCACGTTTAATGAACAATAAAAAACAAAGTTTAAAGAATATTATGTATGTTAACCCCACTGATTCTTCTGAAATACAACAAGTACAGAAACAAACGTCTTTTTTATAAATGCCCTTTTAGGAGGTATAATATGATGAAGCTTAACGCTAGTAAACAAAACTTAGTTTTTTCGCACAGAGAAAAAGTAGTGGCGCATTAGCGACAAACATTGTTGCCAACAAAAGCAGTTCATTTCGAAGCTTGATTTTTGGGGTATTGTCTACACAACTCCGGCCCCACGAATTAGTATTATAGCTAAGTAATCATCTTTACCATAATCTTTCTCTAGCTGCGGAGCACTTTCACGCAAGAGATTCAAAGCAAAATCACAGGGTGGAAATGCATACAGCACCCCAGATGTAGTTTCTGCAGTTAGAGGGGATGAAGAATCGTTTGAGTTTTGGCCACCAGGATTTAGAAGAACCACTCCTGCGGAGTCTTTTGCACGTAAATATCCGATTAGGTTTCGAAGCGGTCTTTGCGGTTGCTTATCGCCATCTCCAGCTTCACTGCATAAAACCGAATGTGGAGGTACAGCCAAAAGAATGCAAAACCCAGAGGAACCGGCTGTCTGAATGCGCTGATTCACGTCATCTAACTTCACTGGATCCAGTCTCATTCGTTGGGTAATGCGTAAACAAACCACCTGGTCTTTGTTTGTACTACTACCATGTGCATCATCCTGAGATTCACTAGAATCAATGTCATCCAGTGACGTGTGTTTATCTTTGTTCGACTTTTTACCTGCATGCCGAGTTTCGTTTGAATGCGCCGATGCTTCTGAATTAGATCTCTGGTACATGAACTGATCAACAAGGCTTTTGTCACCTCTCAAAATGTGCATTGTGCATTGAAAACTACTTGACTTTAGATAAAATGCTCCATCCCATGCCGAAGGAAGACAAGATGCTAACTGTTCTACGTTTGTGGATGTTTCTAATGTGGGTGATCTCGAGGAAGAAGATGAATATCTGCGAGATTTTGATGATGAAGGAGAACGTGAAACAAAACGCGTCGAGTCAGCATCAGGACTTAATGAGTGGTCTCTTAGACTACGTTTAGGCGCCCTTTCATGTGTAGCTTTTCTAGATCTATGGCCAGATTCTCGCCTATGATTTGACGAAGCAGAATGACTTCGGTCACTATCATCATACGTCTTTCGGTCGCGTTTGTATTTTGAGTAATGATTATCACGAGAGTAGGCATTGTCTGAAAAAGAATCTTCACGTTTTATTCGAGGTGTCAGTGATCTTCTGGATGAGTAATGTCTAGGACTTGATTCTGTGGACGAATTTCTTTTCAACCGTTTCCAATTAGGATCTCTGAACATATGTGACTCATCAGTGAAGTCCACTCGGATCCGTTTATGACTCTTTCCTAACGGATATCCACGTAAAAGATCAGCTGCAACAGCAGCCGACTCGCTATCACTATAAAGAATATGGGCATAGTTTTTACCAGACGGCCAGATGATTTTTTCAGGCGCGCTGATACTATTAACAAGGGTTGCGAACTCAGGATAATTTGTCCATGGACCCAATCCACCAACCCATAGGCATCGTGTGGGAATAACTTTCCCATAACCAATTTTGAATCTGTATTCACCTATCATTTGTCCAGATAGATTAACTTTTGCGCGGTGTGCCATGTCTAGACTAAGATATCGAACAAAAGCGAATGCGGTTGCTCCAGTTTCTAGTTCACGGCGCTTAATATCAATATCTTCAATTATACCATAACGTTCGAAAAGCTTCCTCAGTTCAGGTTCCTCGACATCTGGTGGCAAATTACCCAGAAATAATGTTCTTGTTGCATTAGGATCATCTTCGGGATTGCGATGTTCTACTGGACGAGCGTAACGAGCATTGAAAATGCTAAGCATATCTTTCTCTTTACTAGTTGTTTTTCGACGACTGCTTCTAGAATCTTCACCTGTATACCTATCACTGGAACTCCGCGGAGGTCTGTGTGACGATGAACCATGGTGATCACGACCAGTCCGAGTAGCAGATGCTAGTGCTTTGGTTATGTGTGACATTTGTTTGCTCGATATTACACCTCCGGCACCTAATGCTGCAGCCATTGCTGCTGCGTTCATCGCAGCTGCGGCTACGGCCGCAACCGTTGCAGATGAACCCCGTTTGGACCCAAGAGGAATTGGAAGGTTTGGTAATTTTCCTGATGATGCAAGACTTGCTGCCAACATAGGATTAACTCGACTGGAAGAATTGACCAGTGACTTTGACGAGTGACTAGATAATCGATCATTTGATGGCGCATAGGATTTCCGTGAACTTGAGTAGTCACTGAAATAGCATGAAAAAATAAATCAAGCAAATATATGAGTCTAAATGTAAAATCAACTGGATGACAAGACTTGTCAATATAACTCGGTGGTTTAATATTTAGTTTAAAATAATTTAGTATGTGACCCGTATAAAATGTCCTTCATTGAAAAAATTTGATAAACAAAGTATGAAGTTCGTGAGGTTTATAAACATCCTTGTCCAAAAACAAGGTCTCTACCAAGTAGTTTCACTCTACTGATAAAACGCAAGACTTAGTCACGCTACATCGAGTTGAACTGAAAGGTTTACGGTGATTACAGTAGCAAGATATACATCCATAAAATACTAAACATCAAAAACTAACTCTTATAAAGAAATAAGCAAGTTATAGTTAGAGCTGCAAAAGTTGAGTGTCATTGTGAAGTTAAATAAGGTTATTCATAAGTTATGTTGAACTGAAACGAATAAAAAAATTAATGGACAGTATCTCATCTTGCAGAACTAAACGGTCATGAGTTTAGGAAACTGACTTACTTTAACTTTACCTATCTCCGACAATTTTGTAAACAGTTTGACTTTTGTAATCCCCGATAGTATTGACTTTAAAACAATGATCAAAATCTACATTTCATGCACTATTTGAGTTTCAAACAGTGTCATGTCGAAGTGAATCCTTTAGTTGAATAGTTCAGCATTTCAAAATGATACAGTTGTAACATAATTTTTGAAGAACTGCCTCTATATTTTCGGTACAAAATTCTTAGATTTTATAAGAAACACCCTTCTAAGAACGAAGATCCTGACGTTCTATATTGTCAGTTGTTAATTTAAATTGTTTCACTAAGGAATGCATTCTCACAAAACAACAATTAAACACTAAGAGGAACTTCTCCAGAACTTTGTTTATTGAAATAATCTAGTAAGTTAATAAGTTAAGGTATTCAAAATGCACACAAATCACTGCATCACTTAAAAAACAGTTGTAAAACTAGTGATTGAAGTTTTAGTCGATTGGAAGCATTATCCAGACTTTGACGAATGACCAGATTGTCGACTGAAATTCCGGTTGCTGAGATTGCAAGGAATATGACTTCTTATTATCCTTCATAACTAGTCGTTCAAATTTAAACAAAAGTTTTTATAAAATTATTGTACTACTGAAGTGCTTGTGATAATATTGTGAATTCCATTTTCTTATGTTTACTGATTATATGGACATGATCCCTATATTTCGTGGCACTCATTGATAATAGACAAACTAGACGTCTCATCACAATTCTAAAGCATCTACAATGAAGCATTTAGCTCATCATATTATCAACTTAATTTATAACGTATTAGTAGCTCGACTGTATAATAGGAACTGTAGTTTACTTTATCTTGGTAAAATCTATAGTTTACAACATCTACATTTCTTTTAAATGTAAAAGTGACCATTTAGGTGCTCACCTGTCATCCTTGTATTCATTGAAACTCATCGAAAAATAAGTCAGTCAGCTACAACGTAGGATCAAGCACATATGTACATCGTTTCAAGTTGCCGTATCTCACTAACGCAGCAAAATGAACACCGGATTCATAGAAGTAGTTAGTTCAGCGGTGGTAATATATAAAAGACTGCGTATAATGATATGGTACAGGAAGAAAGAGTTAGTTCGTAGGAAGAAAGATATGAAGCGATTTTGAACTCATAGTTTGAACGAAGACAGAGTGTATACACCTACGCCATTGTGATCGATTCTGAGCCATATCACCCAGGGTCTCCAACCATTGGTTACGATAGTCACGCGAACTTTAACCAAGTAATCTGACTCTACCAACATAGCTCAGACTAGAAGTTAGTGTCTTCAAGCACTGATGCCACGTTTTCGTTTGGCCGCCCCTGAGGTGGTATGACAAGACATTATATCCAACCTTGTGACAAGAATCCTAACAAAAACACTACACAGCGGACAATATGGATGTATTAAGCGTTTATTTCGGTAAATGAGACGGAGATTAGTAGTGACAATGAATAGAAGTGAAAGGCTGGCTTGATCAGGTACCTTAGGGCTTTTATAACTCGTTTTCAAGCAAAGAGTATGAATTAACTGCGTATTGAACAAATTACAAAATTACCATAAAGGAACTTACTGAAACTGGACAATCAAAATATTCTCCAGATGTTATAAGTGCATCTTTTGAATTCTGAATGCTTCTTACAGAACTTTCGTCGATCATTTTAAAAATTAGTTATAATCTTAGTACTTGTGGACACCATGTGCACATTATTTTGCTGAGATACATTTTATTTATTCTTCACTAAAATTGAGACTATCTATGAAATTACTTGTTAGCTAAACTGGACCAGCAATACGAGGTGGTTATTAGATAGTGAATAATTTCAAATGATATTGCAAATGCCTTAAGTCGATTCGGACAACTGTGCAGATTAGTTGAGATAAATGCAGGACAAGCATTTCATATGAGTGATAGCATAAGAATGTAGGTTTTCATGATCATATGTTCTGCTGGAACAATCTCATTAAGAAAACTTGATATTCATTTTAATCAAAAGATTTTACATGACAAAAAACTTCATTTTTGGCGAATGTGGCCTACACTTAGGCGGACGCATTTTAGCAAACATGGTCGAGTTAACAATTTAAATGCCCGAAATATTTTCTCGATTTTTAAAATTAAAAAGCCTGAATATGGATGAGAGCATATCATTCCAGGTATCTCGATTTAATATATATGAAATGCAATTTGCTCCTTTCCATTACGAATTGAAGTAACATGATGTCATTTGAGCAATTTTAAATGCATTCAATGTATGGACCGTTAATATCCATCACTCCGACAAGAATAACTGTAGCTGCTACAAGGAGAAAATCTGCTCCACTGTCATAAGTAAAAGACATGATTGCTTAAGAAATGCTCCATCATAGAAAAATTAAAACCCATAATGAGGACAAAACTTATGTACTATGCATGATGAATATGAAAGTGACATTGGGATTGTAATACAACAAAATGATACAATAGCGACTGCAAAATGAGTGAACCACATAAATACGTAATGGCATGAAATATGAACAATGATGACCGAAATCCAAAGTGTTAGCAACAGGTACTAACACGATTGAGTACTCGGAACAACTCACGCAAACTAGATACACCATTTATAAATTACCTGTGGGGGTTAAATGAGCGGCTGGAGTTGTTGCTACTGACAAACTTTGCTGCGGGATTAGGTCGAAGTAAGAATGTTTGTCTCGAACCTTGTTGGTCATATTTATCAACTGATCTGTCTTCACGTGAAGGGCGTCTCAACAGAGCCTTTCGTGGGGGACTTTTGTACTTCTTCGGAGAGTTGATGCACCCGTTAGTACCTTCCTCGTCCGATATACTAGGGGCACGGGCCTTCTTACTGCGAGAAGCCGAGTCCTCTCTATGATGCCTCTTCATACTATGGCAGAAATTTCGAATATAAAACAACTACCTCCATGATGATTCAACTTCCAATTCTTGGGCATTTCAGTAACGTTATTCGAAGTAGGTAGTTTTATTTCATGACAGAAAGTTGGATTGAAAAACAACTTCGACTATTTTTAGACATCATTAAGCTGCTTATTTAGGAATAATGTTTCAAACGGCTGAATATGTCAGCTTCACAAGACTATCTACAACAGGTGAATTGGGAAATTCACACTCAATTTGATGTGGATGCTCATTGGAAACTCTTACTGCACACGATCTTATGCGCTAAAAATCAGTCTTTTCATCAAATTATCCTCGAGGTCTACAAGCAACATACAATCACCAAGAATCGCAATCTTAGTTTGTTAAACCGTAAAATGCACTGTTGGGCGAAATACAAACGGACAGATAACAACGGCGCGTACAAGAAATACAATTATATAGGGAATATATGCACACAAACAATAATAGAAGTCAGGCTTCAGTACCAGATGAAGATTATCGATAAATTTGTTTACGATCCGAAAAGCTTATTCCGACAAGCCAAAACTGGAGTTTCCCGACTGCTGCGTCCTAATGACCCGACCCGTGACAACGAGGACGTCGCTAACCTTCTGACTGAACAATACTCTTGGACATTTCAACCGACCGACGTTAACTACATTGATCAAGGCTTCATCTGCAACTGCACAGGACATTCCAAAGTGAACCTGAGCACTGACTTGGTGTACCGTAAACAGCAGCGCCTAAGAAAAGATACTTCTCCTGGTCCGAATATGGTTCACTCTGCTAAACTAATGGAAGCAGCTTCAATCTTGGCAACACGGTGTAGTGTGATTTTCTCCCACTCTCTAAGCTGAGGCGAACTGCCGGATATTTGGAAGCAGACTCATCAAACTGTAGCAGTAAATAAACCCCACCAAATAAATAGCTCTGTAAGTCCTCGACTTCGGATGCTGATCACATTATTTTTAATAAACTCACTCGTTTGAAGGCGCTCGGTCATGCATCTGCACCAGATCATTAATTGGAAGTTCGTGCTCAAAACCCTTTGCATTCGCTAACCAGTCTAGATCAGTCGATCCTAGATATATTGATAGCCTATCAAATATATCTTAGAACCACCCAGCTTCTGTCTTTGGATTTCACTTGGTGGGTACGATTCACAGTAGGTGTTACTGATTGAGGCGTTGCCAAACTCCAAATACCTGTGGCATCTGCTAACTGAAAAGATAGAAACATAGCCACGATGTGAAAGAATTCTAACTACCTTTCCACTTGATTCATTAAGTTTGATACACTTTACCTGGTCACGGGTAGATTTTTAGTAGCATTGGACCATAACCACACGGTCCTCAAAACTGAACACGAGACTACTCAGAAAATAGATATTCAATATTTAACGCGGAGAAATACCTAACAATGGAGAAGGCGAGAACAAGGTGTTGAATGAATTGGGGTTGATCGGTTGGCATGTATCGACCTTGCAGGCGTGGTCCCTGCTGAATGTTACCTTATACCTTTTATTCATATTAAACATATGGTCCTATCTCTGGCCTAAGCTTGTTCTCCATCATGTATTGGTAATTGTTACGATACAGTGGGTTGGTGTGGACGATGATGTGACTTCCACGTAAGATTTTATAGATTAGGCAGTTATACATTACGAATCTACAATTTTAGGATTAGGTCTATTATTAGAGCAGTACTGATATCATAGTAGACTATAATTTCACAGATTTGCTCAACCTCATTTTTATTTAGCCGCGAAATGATTTAGGAATACCACCGGTACATATGAACCGTGATCAGAAAATCTTTTGGCACATAACAGCGCTGATAACTCAATAAATCTTCAACTGACTCGACTGACAGCAGTGAGAGACCTCGGGAATTATGAAGGTTATGGTATTGAATAGTCTCTTTGTGTTGCTTTTTATCAATTTTAGATTGCCGTTACACTAATCAGAAGTCAAAACCAGTTTACTTTCTTGATTATTACAAATGACGAGTCGGCTATAGCAATAATTAATTTTTATGGTTCATCGACAAGCCTTAGCAAGATTTGAATGCCACGGTGTGATTAGTTCTTTTAAAATATCAGCCACTAGAAAATATAGAGGCTTATAGTCGTAACTATACATAAGTCGATCCTTAATGAGAGCAGGGACTGAACAGCTATCTGGAATAGTCTGTCCATCTCATTTTTTACTATGGATTTTACTCTTCTCACACCATAAACTGTCTTCTTATAGTTTTTTTACTCCTAGTTGGTAAACTTACGGTTCTCGAGTTTCATTGTCAGGGAGAAAATACAATACATGAGAAACTTATAGTCAGTTTGAACTTTTAAGTTTCTTCAGTCTTAGACCATTTTAGATTGTCCATTCTGGGGATAGCACACATTTATCTGGATTGCTTTTGAATTTATATTAAATCAAGTGGCGGAAAAATTCTGCATTAATTTAAACAAGTATATTTTCATAGACCTGATATTTATATGAGATACATTTACAGACATCACAGGACACTATACTACCTTGTTATTCCTAGACAAGGCATATGGACTTCGAAATTAATCGGATACATCTTATCTGTCTTTATTTTCAACGTTAAATTCTTCTGAATATCACGCACTAGCCACATCAACCTTTTATAAAAGACGATCTTATCTTTTTCACTTCCTAAACAGTAGCTCCACAAATAATCTCTTAAACTGTAAATCTAATTTTTCGATTTACTTTTTATACCCCATATCGACGTGAGCTTGAGAGTTGTTTTCATGCACGCTTGTCATATTAACTATATTCCACTGAAATTTGTGAATTATCTGAAGTGCTTTCAGCAAATTCTACAGAAGTTGCCGTAGTTCTCATCACTGTGTGTATGTATGGATCTGGCCATTTAAATGTTTAAATATGCAGTTTTAGCACGCTTAAGACCATAGGTGACGGCATATTTATTTATTTGTGACATTATCACAGTAAACTAGCAGTATAGTTACGTTTCCATAAATCATGCAAGTTTCTCAAAATAGAAGTTATGTGGATCAATATTTAGCTTAGCACTAGTTCATAGTCATTTATTTTCTGAAGTGATGGTTCATTGGATAATTGTTTTAACGTACCATAAACTAAAGAGGGAGGAGTGTTATCTTTACACCCTAAAACTACTACCGTTTCAACGTCACTGGGTAACATTCCACACACAAAGAAACACTTTGAGTCCTCAGGGAGTCTTTTGGAAATAAATTTGTAATTCAACTTAAGCGGACCATATATATGTGTTACGTTTACTGGATAGAACCACATTAATCGAATGTAAGACCTTTAACTCATCTTTTGTTATTATACGCTGATGATATTATGATCTTGAGAGAATTACCAGGAGACGCAGATGCATGCGCACTTCAGGCACAACTAAGTATTATGACTAGCTGGTCTAAAAAGAAGCTAATGCTTATCAACACGCCAAAGTACGCCTGCATGTACGTTGGGGTTACAAAAGTAAATAGCTACAACAAAGGGGAAGCACTTGTACCCGTAGTTTGGTCGTACAAGGATCTTGAGGTGATGGTAAGTCGTGATCGCAAGACCACGGCCTACTGCCGGGAGGTCGCAGTTAAACGGTTTAAAACCCTATAGGCTTTAAGACGAACATTTACCAAGATAGATATTACCGTGTTCACTACAGCATAAACGACCGTAGTGAGAACTAAGCTTGAAAACTACGTTCAGGCTGCAAGATCCTTTTCAATAGGTGAATCGGATATCCTGGAAAAAGTATAAAGGGCAGCTGCCTGTACAGTTTCAGAACTCTGGGGTTTACCATACAAAGAGAGGTTTGAAAAGCTAGAACCCTTTACTCTATCCTGCCACAGATCAAGAGGTAGTTTGATGTTGATTTATATCATATTAAGAAATGATTTTGAACCTGACATATCCTCTGTTTTTCCTTCTACCTGAGAACACAGCGGACGAGTAGAAAATCCAAGAATAAACAAAATACCCGTTTTCATACTTAGTCGTTAATTCTTGGAAATCGTTACACGAGGCATTGGTGTCAGTACATTCAACTGATTCGTTCTAAAGAAGACTAGACATTCACAGAAGCTTACCAGAAAAGGACTAACATATTATGTGGGCCTTCTGTCCTTACTACACAAATCTAAATCTGATCCACTAACCTCACCAGGTTCATAAGTTTGGTAAGTGTGTTCAGATTCAGTCGAATTCGTTTAGAAGTATGGGATTTAAAATTTTACGAAGAAAAAATGTCAAAATGTCTGAGTGAATCCAATATTATAGTTTCAGTGATAAATAAGGGTCATGAAAATACAGAAAAATTCAAATGGTTTAAATGGTTGTGGACGAAATTGAAGAAGCTTTCGCTCAGTGAACTTCCGTGTCTAGTAGCAGTGGATCACCAATACCTCCAGGCAGGAATCTAGGTACATTATTAATAACAGAGGGAAAAGAAATTGGTAAATCATTGTAAGATATAATCCTTAATCCTTAGGTACAGGTTAAGTTCCTTTTTAAATGACTCTTGGGAAGTCACTTGGACTATCTCAGACGGCAGCGAATTCCAGCATTTGACAACTCTTAAGGAGTAGACGTTGTGTCTGCTGTGTTGTGTCTCTAGTTTCTGGGTGTTATCCCTTAGGTTTGTGTTGGGGCTAAACTTATGTAGGTGTTTAAGCGGATGTACATAAGTGTTAAGGATACTGTAAGCCATTAGGTCACATCTAAGACGCATATACTCTAAGGGGTAAATGTTTAGTAAGTGGAGGGGCTCTTCATAAGGTTTGAATTTGAACTAATTTATTGGCTTGGCGTTGAACACGTTCCAGAGTGTCCTTATCCTTTTGGAGTGAGAGAGAAAATACTGTGTTTCCGTCCTCTAAATAGGAACGAATGATACTGTTGAAGATTTGTTATATCTTAAAGGTTGATTTCTTGATATACCGCGTATAACAGAGCACTAGAACACCAAAACTCTTCCAAGTCGCAGTAAGAAGACAGAAGAC